ATAATCTACCTAACTTTACTAATTTAAAAAATTCTCTAATTATCTGTTGGATGATCAAGATTTTTAACTTTTAAACCAAGAAAATTTTTTATTTACGAATTCTATGTATTTTAATCCGGATTAAAAAAACCTATAACGACTTGTGAATGTGATTTGTCGGGGTATAATGAAATAAAACTTTAAAACACTGATAAGGTTATGCAATCTTCCACAGCATAGAAGGGGGCATTCGTATGATTGGCTGATGCAAACCAACTCTAGCTTATTTAAACGTACGTACGTACTGTACGTATGTTTTGAAGTACTTAAAATAGTCGCAAAAGAAGGGTATATAGTAAAGGAGTACGGTACGGAAACGAAAATTAAAATGGACGTGTAAAAATCATGATAGTACGTATGGTTTGTAAAATAAAAAATTCGTCAAACCCAAGTTACTTTTTCTACTAATCCCAACATGAAACAGAACAATACAAGTGCTCACCGCTCACCCTAACTCTATCCATTAAAAATGGTTATAAATATTAACCGTACGTACTGTACGATCAAAATTTAGTATAATTTTCGTATGTCCGTTCGAATCTGTATTGCCGTGCAGTACTATTTACTGAATACCTGCAAAAGACACCTGCAGCTTTAAAGTGCTGTCAATATTTATTATGCAAAGAATCTCAAAATGATCTCAATTATGCCAAACCTAGAAGACAAAAGATACTACCGTCTATTAGTTAAATTATACTGTAGAGTGATGATAGCTGAAATGATTTCGTCAAAGACTATTTTACTACATTAGATTATTTTTAAGCCTCTTTAAAGAAATTATACTATAGAGTGATGATGACTGAATGATTTCGTCTAAGACTATTTTACTACATTAGATTATTTTTAAGCTTCTTTAAAAAAACGACCTATGGCTTGTTTTATTAAACTTAATAAATTGATTATGAATTATATTTGCATTGATTATTGACTCCGGTTTGCACGCCCACTTGTTTGCTTCATATCATCTGGACTAGTGGGGACTAAACCAAGGAAATTATTACTATTTTAAAACCTTCATCAATCATGATTCGTTTTCCGGGTAAATCTAGACCCATAGTAATGATAGACGAACCTATAATTAATTTATCTGATGGTATCGAATTACCTCTATGTACTGAATAACAATCGCAGTAGGAATCTAATTGGGTGTACTCTTTATATTCTGGTAGACTTGATGAAGATCATGGATATTAGTGAGACCATCTATTTCCAAAGGAACATAATCTTTTTAAACCTATCAGGTAACTGAGTATCAAATAGAACGGCGGTATTAGAGGAATTCCTGTAGGAGTTGCACTTGATAGAAATAATTTTTGAATTTGTTCGTGTTTTATGATATCATAGCTTGCAAGCATTGCACAATCAAGTTCATGGAATTCATCAAACATAATGAATGATTTATGGTGATGTCTTTTGAAGCGAGGGTTTAAAAGTTAAAAATCTTGATCATCCAACAGATAATTAGAGAATTTTTTAAATTAGTAAAGTTAGGTAGATTAT